GGGGTAAACATAACGGTTCTCCCCCATCCTAGCATCAGCACTGCACTGATGAGGCCCAGGAGGCCGAAACGGTACTGTCTGCGGTTAGATATAGCTCTTTGGCATACAAGGCTCTGCTTTTATGCCCAAATTGAGCCCTGTGGGGTGAGTCATTGCCGCTAGCATTGCGCATAGCTCACTAGGCTTTCCTAGTTTGAGCACTCCTGCATGGCTTAGACGATACCACAAATGTGGGATCGTTCGGGGTAAATGATAACGGTTCTCCCCCATCCTAGCATCAGCACTGCATTGATGGGGCCCAGAAGGCCGAAACAGTACTGTCAGCAGTTAGTTATATATATGTCTATATACAGGTATAAGCCAATATTAGGATGTGCTTCTTGGCTCTGGAGAAAAAAAAAAAACAGGTAATGGCATGAACACCTAGATAACTTAGCTGTCATGTTCACACGGCTCGCAACGACAACGACATTAAAGATGAAACAATGTAATGTAAGAAGAAAAAATCTAAGTCCCAGATGGGATTTGAACCCACGACCCTCCGTGATCTAATCACGCTGAGAGTGGTTAGAGAGTGGTTAGAGCATCCGGCTAGATCACGGAGGGTCGTGTGTTCAAATCCCATCGACAACGATACTCCCATTATTGTGCGAATAATTCTGGGAGGGTGAACTCTGAAGCTCTGTTTTCCTCTCAGTTGTTTATCTGTGGAAATTTCACGGCTCTCTCTTATTTTATAACGGACTGATCTATGGCTGTTTCTCAAACTCAGTACTTTTAGCCATTGGCGCTGTCCTTAGGAAAAAGGTAAAGTGAGTCACTTACTTCATCATTGTATTTCCAGTGCGCTATTGCCGTGATTAGGTGACATCCCTCGTTACTAACCGCGCGCAATGAAATGGAGCGCAGCTTTAAGCAGGCCTACTTTGGGCCTGGGGAGAAAAGACCCGTGTCTTATCGATGACACTGACACTGTTGATCATCAGATCCTTCTATCGAAACTAAACTATTATGGTATACATGGAGGCTGAAACGCACTGAGCTTGTATTCCAGCGGGATGGGTATTACGGCGCACAAAGCGCGCGTCTCAAACAATAGGCACGGCCGCGTGGCATGCCCGCAAAATCCGAGAAAACGCGCGCTGGTGGCATGTTGAGAGCCCTGGCAAAGATGGGATACGTGGGCAGGGAGGCTGAAACTCACTGAGCTTGTAGTCCAGCGGGATGGGTATTACGGCGCACAAAGCGCGCGTCTCAAACAATAGGCACGGCCGCGTGGCATGCCCGCAAAATCCGAGAAAACGCGCGCTGGTGGCATGTTGAGAGCCCTGGCAAAGATGGGATACGTGGGCAGGGAGGCTGAAACTCACTGAGCTTGTAGTCCAGCGGGATGGGTATTACGGCGCACAAAGCGCGCGTCTCAAACAATAGGCACGGCCGCGTGGCATGCCCGCAAAATCCGAGAAAACGCGCGCTGGTGGCATGTTGAGAGCCCTGGCAAAGATGGGATACGTGGGCAGGGAGGCTGAAACTCACTGAGCTTGTAGTCCAGCGGGATGGGTATTACGGCGCACAAAGCGCGCGTCTCAAACAATAGGCACGGCCGCGTGGCATGCCCGCAAAATCCGAGAAAACGCGCGCTGGTGGCATGTTGAGAGCCCTGGCAAAGATGGGATACGTGGGCAGGGAGGCTGAAACTCACTGAGCTTGTAGTCCAGCGGGATGGGTATTACGGCGCACAAAGCGCGCGTCTCAAACAATAGGCACGGCCGCGTGGCATGCCCGCAAAATCCGAGAAAACGCGCGCTGGTGGCATGTTGAGAGCCCTGGCAAAGATGGGATACGTGGGCAGGGAGGCTGAAACTCACTGAGCTTGTAGTCCAGCGGGATGGGTATTACGGCGCACAAAGCGCGCGTCTCAAACAATAGGCACGGCCGCGTGGCATGCCCGCAAAATCCGAGAAAACGCGCGCTGGTGGCATGTTGAGAGCCCTGGCAAAGATGGGATACGTGGGCAGGGAGGCTGAAACTCACTGAGCTTGTAGTCCAGCGGGATGGGTATTACGGCGCACAAAGCGCGCGTCTCAAACAATAGGCACGGCCGCGTGGCATGCCCGCAAAATCCGAGAAAACGCGCGCTGGTGGCATGTTGAGAGCCCTGGCAAAGATGGGATACGTGGGCAGGGAGGCTGAAACTCACTGAGCTTGTAGTCCAGCGGGATGGGTATTACGGCGCACAAAGCGCGCGTCTCAAACAATAGGCACGGCCGCGTGGCATGCCCGCAAAATCCGAGAAAACGCGCGCTGGTGGCATGTTGAGAGCCCTGGCAAAGATGGGATACGTGGGCAGGGAGGCTGAAACTCACTGAGCTTGTAGTCCAGCGGGATGGGTATTACGGCGCACAAAGCGCGCGTCTCAAACAATAGGCACGGCCGCGTGGCATGCCCGCAAAATCCGAGAAAACGCGCGCTGGTGGCATGTTGAGAGCCCTGGCAAAGATGGGATACGTGGGCAGGGAGGCTGAAACTCACTGAGCTTGTAGTCCAGCGGGATGGGTATTACGGCGCACAAAGCGCGCGTCTCAAACAATAGGCACGGCCGCGTGGCATGCCCGCAAAATCCGAGAAAACGCGCGCTGGTGGCATGTTGAGAGCCCTGGCAAAGATGGGATACGTGGGCAGGGAGGCTGAAACTCACTGAGCTTGTAGTCCAGCGGGATGGGTATTACGGCGCACAAAGCGCGCGTCTCAAACAATAGGCACGGCCGCGTGGCATGCCCGCAAAATCCGAGAAAACGCGCGCTGGTGGCATGTTGAGAGCCCTGGCAAAGATGGGATACGTGGGCAGGGAGGCTGAAACTCACTGAGCTTGTAGTCCAGCGGGATGGGTATTACGGCGCACAAAGCGCGCGTCTCAAACAATAGGCACGGCCGCGTGGCATGCCCGCAAAATCCGAGAAAACGCGCGCTGGTGGCATGTTGAGAGCCCTGGCAAAGATGGGATACGTGGGCAGGGAGGCTGAAACTCACTGAGCTTGTAGTCCAGCGGGATGGGTATTACGGCGCACAAAGCGCGCGTCTCAAACAATAGGCACGGCCGCGTGGCATGCCCGCAAAATCCGAGAAAACGCGCGCTGGTGGCATGTTGAGAGCCCTGGCAAAGATGGGATACGTGGGCAGGGAGGCTGAAACTCACTGAGCTTGTAGTCCAGCGGGATGGGTATTACGGCGCACAAAGCGCGCGTCTCAAACAATAGGCACGGCCGCGTGGCATGCCCGCAAAATCCGAGAAAACGCGCGCTGGTGGCATGTTGAGAGCCCTGGCAAAGATGGGATACGTGGGCAGGGAGGCTGAAACTCACTGAGCTTGTAGTCCAGCGGGATGGGTATTACGGCGCACAAAGCGCGCGTCTCAAACAATAGGCACGGCCGCGTGGCATGCCCGCAAAATCCGAGAAAACGCGCGCTGGTGGCATGTTGAGAGCCCTGGCTTTCTANACGTCTTCAACTGGCTACAAGCGAACAAACTCACGTTGAACATGACTAAAACCGAATTCATGCTAATAGGGTCGAGGCAGAGACTGAATACTCTCACAGCTTCACCAACAATTAGAATGAACAATACTCAAGTGAGCCAGGTTACAGCTACAAAATCGCTTGGTGTAATAATAGACGATAAACTCGATTGGCATAGTCACATCGAAAAACTAACGAAAAAGATCGCCTCTGGTATCGGGGCCCTAAAGCGAATTAGGCACCTGATCCCAGCATCAACCTTACATCTCATCTACCAAGCTTTAGTAAAACCTCACTTTGATTACTGTGACATTGTTTGGGGTAGCTGTGGGAAAACGCTACGAGACAAACTGCAGAAATTGCAGAATAGAGCAGCCCGTGTGTTGACATTCTCTAACTATGATGCTGATGCAACTGAGCTACTCGAGTTTTTAGGGTGGAAAAATCTTGCACGCCAGCAGGAAATCCATAAAGCCACCATGATGTTTAGATGTCTGCACGGGCTAGCTCCAAGGTATCTATATTCAAAGTTTACGTGGCGTGACTCTGCTTATGACCTCAGGGACTCTGAAAATAAGCTTAATGTTCCACTACCGCGCACTAATTATTACAGAAAAAGCTTTAGCTACAATGGCGCCACATTATGGAACAGTTTACCACGCGATATAAGGAACACAGAGTCTCTGGGATTATTTAAACGTAAGATCAATGACATTCTTTAAGTCTAACGCACGGCATTCACGGAAAACAGCTTTAGTGTTATAGTATGTAGTTTTAATTTTAAATATCTTAGCGTATGTGATATGTATTTTTATAGGCTGATGAATTGATCGTGTCTAAATAAAGATTACAATACAATACAATACAATACAATGGATATATTCGGTGCGTAAACTCAAATTGTAAGATCTAGATTAGTTGTAGGTGGAATATAATCGATCAAAAACGTGCCTCTTCGTCTGACTTAAAGAAGGAAAGGGCATTGTTACGTGGTATAAATTATGTTAGACTAAGGAAGAAACAGCAAAAACGCAAAGAAAGGAAACCAACTCGTTGTTTCTGACGTCTCACTGGGCTGTCTGTCTCCTGACCAGTATGGCAGGCTGTTACTGCCCGATCAAAACTCGATCGACTTGCACATTACCTTTGTTATTGTTCCAATGCTACTGAGTTGCATAACTAATTCGGTCACTTTGGAGAATGTGTGGTCGAGTTAGCAAAATTCTATTCTCACTTTGAATAGGTATAGTTGAGTATAGTATAGTTATCGAGGTTATTGCGAGCGACTTTGGAATCCCTTGCAAGCTGTAACGGCTTGCCTCAGAGAGGCAATTTATGATAATGACAAAACAACGCAAATTCAAATTACAATAAGGCTTCCCGTGTCGCATTTTATTTGTATGTTTGTCTGAGAACACGACTTACAGTGAAGGAAAAATACGAGAAAAAGAAATACCTAGGAAAAAATCATTGAACTATGGTTATAAACTCATACACGATTTATTTATGCATGCGTGACTGTTTACAGGTGTCCTCTGCTTTATTTTCTAATTTAAATTAGTTGACCATGATGATGAGTTCCGCTCCTATGTTAGCCATTTTTCTAACGCTTCTGATCCATTTTCATCCCACTCTTCTTTAAAGACACACAATTCTTCAAACAGAGGAAGCTTGGCGACCACTGAGGCACCTATGTAAGCAGCATGCTGACGTTCAAGTCCTGAGTGAACCTGGTTTGAGGAGTGAGAGAGAACGTGAGCGATAGGGAAAGGTAAGAAATAAGAGAAACAGCAAGGACTTGGGGAAGAGGGAACATGAGCAAACTTTTGTTGGGGTTGAACTTAAGCCCTTAAACTCCGACGTCCTTTCACATGCACTTTCCAGAGAAAAATTGTAATAATTTGTGACTAATTTACCTCATTCAACTGTTTTCCTTATGTCCAGACTTAATACTCATTAACAGATTGAAAGAAAAGCGGCCGTTCCACATAGAAAAACTGAACGCACTATTTAATGCCTCAAGTCAAAAAAAAAAAAAAAAAACTGAGTAAAAGACGAGGTGTGAAGTTCACGTTCTTAAGGTGCTCTATAATTTAAAATTTACAGTTTCCAAACGTTTCCAACGAAATAGTGGGAACTGAACACTTCACCGAAGGACCAAAGGAAGTCATTGATTTATGGTCTTTTTCAGAAAAAAAAGAAAAAAAAAAAGACAGGAATTGACCTACCTGCACATGGGAAGTTGAAGGCATCAGCTCAGAAACTTCTTCTTGAAGTCGTTCGGCTAGACCTGGGAACGAAATACACAAGGCTCTATCATTTTCCTTGAGTGAATATTTCACAAATATTTCGAAACGTCTAGTCACTCATATACTTTCTTCTACTGCACTATTATCTTACTAACCGTGAATCATGATTTTTTTATAAGGAAATATACCGAAATTCGATCATTGATCAGTTGACGAAACAGACTGAAACACAACCACAAAAAAAAAAAAAACACAAACAACAAACTAACAAACCAACATACAAACAACCAAAATGAACAAATGGAAAACAGAAAGGCAAACAACCCAAGATTAGGACAAAAATTGGACATGGAAGAAATTCAAACAAGGAAAAAAACAATGTAAGAAGAATAGATGAACAAAAGGAACATACAAACAAAAGAACAAAGGCGGACGGGCAAAATAGAATGGAAGAAAACCACACGAGTCAAGACAAATCGGTACTATATAGTAATGGTGGTTACACTTTTGTGACCTAACCTGGAGACATGGACCCTCCCCCACTCAGATAAATGTTCCGACACATCTGTTTCCGTATGTCGATACTACAAGCCATGATGGCGTCAGCAGTCAGCTGGTGAATACCCGGATTGTCTTTGCCCCAAACGGACGGCTTGAACAGTCCTTCTGTACAGCGGTATCTAGCCGAGTCCACGGTGACTCTTCTAAGAAAATAAAGGTAATATAATGCCTCAATTAACAACACTGGTCCACTGAAAATAACTTGCATGGAAAAGAGATAGAATATGCTTCTGTGGAGAAACTAATTGAAAAGCAGCCTATAAGATATAAATGTAAAAGAAATACTAAGAAAATAGAGAATTCGTATGACTTCTTTACACATATCGGGTGGAAATCGTTAAAATGACCATAAAGTGTCGTGATATGCTCTCCTGAGTAATTCCGCTGCCCGCAAGAAAAAGCCACCGAAAGTTACGACTTTTTTGCCAATGAAATTTCGAGAGAAACAGGGCCCTTCATCTAATGATCAACAAAATTACTTTAAAAACGTTCCACTTTTTTTTTTCCAGACAGCAGAAGAAGCTTAAAGAGCTACGTCACAATATTCGATGTCATTGTTTAGCATTCCAGCCTTTTGCCAGGGTAGCATACACCAGCAAAGTTAGAATACTCCAGAGGAAAATCAACAAGAGTAGAGTAAGCGAGGATCATTACAGTCTGAAAATAACAACCTCGACGAAGTAGCCTGGCTGAAGAACAAACCGAGACCGATTAACTCTAAGGAAAGAGAATCCCTGCCTGTAACAGACCTCGTGCCATCTGGTAAGGAGTATTTTTGCAGATCCACTACCATTGTATAGTCTGATTCCGAATCCTCTTCAACATCTCGCTTTGCCACAAGGGATACCTGAAGAGAAATTGAAGAACATCATTAACAAAATATGGTTGCGAAAAATCAGTCTATCTGGATTAAACAAGGTAATTTGGTTATATCAGTTAAGTTGAAATTGTACATTGGCCACCTTCACAAGTTAAAAACCTGACGTTTCGAGCATTAGCCCTTTGTCAGCGCGAATGGGGAATTTGCGGGTTGTGTGAGGGTTATATACAGAAAGTGGAGCTACGCTATTGGTGGAAACATGGCGACGAGAAAAACACGAATAAATTAGTAAAATGAAAACCATATCAACCATAGGTATCAACGAACGCTTTTCGTATTTTGCTTTTCTTGTTTATTTGTGTTTTTCTTGTCGCCATGTTCTCACCAATAGTGTAGCTCCACTTTCTGCATTTAAACCTACACACAACCCATAATTCCTCCATTCGCTCTGACGAAGGGCTAACGCTCGAAACGTCAGCTTTTTGACTCGTTACGGTGGCCAATTTTCAATTTCAACTTAGTTGATATAGCTAAATTACCTTGTTACCCCTACCGACGCAGCACCACAGCTTCTTTAGAAACTTTCACCCTTTATTCATTTATCTGGATTAAACAGCTTAGAATCAAAATTTACTTAGTTTTTTAGACTGGGAGTAAGGCAACTCAGCCTCCCCAAGCCTTCCTTGTTGACATACGAAGCAAAAACATTCCACTCTTAATAGCTAACAGCCTTATATTAGTAATAATCGTACCTTCTCTTTGATTGCTCGCGAAATGTAGGACTCGACTTCTGAGAAAAGCCTTAGATTGAGATAAAAAAGAAAATGTTTGATATCAGTTCGAACCGCCGGTAAAAGTATAAGTAACTCTCCCGAACTAGGGCTTAAATGGAAGATGCCTGATCTTATGAAGAGAGCAATTAAAAAAAAAAATTCGTCTACCTTCTGTTTCTCCTTTAATATATTTCATAAAAAGAGAAAGACAGTATTACTAAGAATGCTTCTGTTCGAAACATTTTCTCAAATATATAGCCTCTGTTTCAAATGTACGTCCGACTTCCATAAATACGATCCATTGTTTAAATCGCTCGCCATCAGTCGAAATTGTTTGGACCGAAAACATTAACGTTACCAGTTACCAGTTACATTACCAGTTACCCACGTGTAACCGTCTGCTAGTTCTGATCATTTCTTTTCGCATGTTTTAATTTTGAACTTGTTTTGACCTATTGTTGATGCTCTGTACAGCGTACTCAATTGCATATGGTCTAAAGACAGTCTTACTCATCTTATTACCGAATGCCTTTCTCTGTCAACATCCTCGTAAAACTGTCTGTAATTTGTCTGCCGCCATAAGGAAGTCTGGTGACACCAGCTTCGATCATACTTCCTGAAACAGGTTCGCATGTTTAAGTTCAGCACAAAAGCAGTCTTTGAAGCATAGTAAACGAGAAGATAAATTCTCTCATAACTAACTGAACAGGTTAATAAGTAAATGATAAAAAAAGTAATGAATGAATGGATGCATGAAATAAAACAGAAGGCTACGAAAGTTGGGATGTATTCTGCTGAAAACGTCAGAGCTGAAGAAGATGACGAACAGTTCTGAATTGCTCAACCGCAATTCAAAAGTGTTCTCATCCATCTACGAAAGAGCGTCTACTTATGGGATATTAAAAAAAGGGGTCTTTCAGTAGAGCTGTCCGCTAACGAGAGTGTTCGTTGTAGTGGAGAATTGACTGGATTCAATTTTTCCCCCTTAAACTCATGTCACGAACTCGACCCCATTTTCCGAGTTAGTGTCCTAACATATCAAACGTGAAATGTCACGAGGGCTACGTTACAATGTTACCTTCCACAACTGGAATGATGTCGATATGATCACCAATATCCACTGAAAAATAATAAAAAAAAAACTATAAAATTTCATCATTCTGGTTCCACTGCGGTGTCAGTGAAGGACTTAAGTATCTATAAAGCACCACAACAGGCTGGGATAAATGACAAAAGAAAGAAAGAAAGAAAGAAAGAAAGAAAGAAAGAAAGAAAGAAAGAAAGAAAGAAAGAAAGAAAGAAAGAAAGAAAGAAAGAAAGAAAGAGAGAAAAAACAAAAAAAAAACAACTACTGACTGACGTTTTGACAACCTTAGCGGAAGTCATTATTAGAGTCAATCAACCGGCCCCACCAAAACAAAATTGATGTGAACCTGCTTTCCTCAACAGTCATCATTTAATTTTTAAATTACGGCTCACCAACGATTCCTGAAATAGCACTGTAGGAATACATTGACAAAACGGCTTGCTCCTGAAGATAACATGCTTCAACTTTAAAGGTGTACAGCAGTAGTTCTACTAGCTCCTCCTGTCAACAAATAAAATTAAGCGGAAAGTAAATCAAGACACTGAGACTCATACCCACATTCTGAGCTTTTTTTAGATCCTTCCCATTCTCAGAGATCCCACACGGATCTGAAGTTAGTAATCTTGGGTAGAGAATTTCGCCCACGTTGATAATTCATGCAGCGTCTATTTGCCCACCACCCGGCAATAAATTCAAACACACGCCAAGTGCATCTCTTTGGAATGCAGAGACCTATTGGGAGTCCTTCTCACAGCCTGATCTTCTCATAATTTTAATTACAAATTGAATCCATACGAACACATTCTTTCACGTGTGAAATACGGGTCTGTTGATAAATTAGGCAGAATACCACCAAATCCAATAACAACAACAACAACAAGCCCTTGACACACCTTTTCTTGAGGTCCGCAGCCATGTGGCAATGTCATAATCACCTGTAAGGAACATGGTTTTAAGTTAGTATACCTCATGTGATATTCGCTTCGCCTTGTTGACCAACAAAAAAAGCGTGGAACTAGCAAAATCCTGCTAGTCTTGGGAATCCTTGAAACATATTCTCGTTTCATTTTTGCTATGATTCTTGCTTTCCTACTGCTTGTTTGTTCAATCGTTTGTTTTCTTCAATGACCCTTTGAAGTTTTTGTTTCTCTAACAATCGTTGTCTTGGAGGTTTTCAATAACTCAAAGGACATTCGCACTTTGCTTTAAAGACAGAATAAACAACTACTGAAAAGGTTGAAGAACAGACGAACAGGTCAAACGACACAGATATAAATGGTAGTATGCAACAGACTGGAAGATAAAAAGAAGGATATGTAGATACGAATGAACAGACAGACAGCGGGATGGTAGGTATTTTTTTCAAGATTAACCTTCAGAAGCTGGAATGTCACTCTTTAATGAGGGGTGGGTAAAATAAAAACGAATAAAAAGGACAGAAAAAATTTTAAACGGGAGAGAAAACTTTACATCTTGCATGCCTAACCCGAACCACCGACTCACAAATAATATTTCGTAAACTTTTTCAGGACGTTTTCTCTCATTTCCGTCAACTTCAATCGAGAGGTTGTTCACGAGTTTTGTGAAAACGGCCACCCTATTGATGCATTTCTTGCTGCTTTTGTTCTCAGTAAAACAATTACGTCACTTTCCCAGGCTTTTAATGACCCACAACTTAAAGCCTGTCCAAGGCTAGAAACAATTTGGTAAAATTTTTAAGCTTTTCATGAGTTATGAAAATTTACTCTCTGATCTTACTGACCAAATAACAGCAATGATAATCATTGTGATAAGGAAAATGATGCGTGAAGCTTACCTTGTGTTTAGATGGCTCAACTCTGAGTTTTTCAAACACGTGTTCAAAAATTCCAGTTAAATCAAATATCTCAATCTTGAGCTATAATCATAAAACGCAGCAACGTTAAATACTGAGAAGTCTAACGAATACTTGGTCTGCTGAAGCCATACGAGAGTTAAAAGTTGAAATCATGTGGAATGTACTTTATAACCTCTCGTATGACGGATTTTCTTATATCCACATCTACTCTCTAAAAAAAGCAAGGGTGGATTCAGTTGTGGAAGGAAAGCTTATTCTGTTCCCATAAAAAAAAATACCCTTTTTAAAATCTATCGGGCTAAATGAGGACGGAGGTTCATTCCAACAATAACCTGAGCAGTACAGCATAAAAACAACAAAACAAGAATGACTGAGACTTCATCACGATTTACCTTGTCAATTTTCAGTGACTTTCTCAAGGGGAAGTGTAATCTTGACGTCTTCCTTGTCTCCGGAAGGAGTGCTTCATATCCATATTTACAGTTTTCTCTACACAACGTAGAGAAAATAATCGAGTTAGGGAATTTTTGAAACCTCTCTTTTTCTTTTGTTCAAGAAAAAAAAAGAAGAAAGAGTTAGCGATCTTTAAGAGAACCATGGACAAGTGGTTGGAGCTTCACTACGGACCCAAAGGTTCAAGTTCAAGTCATGGCTGGGTCATTGTCATTGCGCTGTGTTCTCAAGCAAGACAGTTTACTCTCACAGTACCTCTTGCAATCCAGGAATATAAGGGAGCACTGACAAAAACCGACCCCGGGTCACGCCAAGGGTTGTGGATTTCAAGCCTCACCAGTACCCAGTTTTTCCCTCCTTAACACTCGCGACAAATTGCAAATTTATCATTTTCTTTGAAGTTATCAATACTTACGAATTCTCTTTGTCCACGGCGATAACACAAGGAAATATCACTTGAGGCCAGGCTATTAGAAAGAGATATAAATTTTTTTAGGACTAAAAACATTCAAGACACGCAGGCCTAAAAAAAAAATTTGGCCACGGACCCCTGCTAACCTAATTGTTCGGAAATAAGTTAAGAGAAGGGAGAAAAAAAACAAAAAACAGATGGATGACGAATTGCTCATTTACCAGGCCTTGCATGTACCGATACATTCGAGAGTATCTTGCGTTTTGCTTTCACTTTTTTCTTTCAGTTCTTTTATCTGAAGGGGGCCACAAACCAATTGCAACATTTCATTTTTGATCCAATAAAGTGTAGGAGAGGAAAAGATCTCTCGGTCGTAAGTGGAAGTGATTGGCCAATTCAGCGGAATGTACCCTCTTTTTCCGGCCTAATATAACTTAAGCTTTTTTTGGTGCCAAATGTCTCTCGTTATTTTATTGCCAACTAATTTTCGAGGGCAAATTAAAGATTTAAAGACATCGGTATATTAAAACGTGTTAAACTAATGAAAGATGACGTGCGTCCGTCATTTGAAGCTGTTCGAAGTCACTATAGCGTTCGTTTTCCAAGCACAACGAACACGAAGCAGAGATTTCATAAACATCTCTCCAACCTCACCCTGTAGGCCTGTTATGGATCGTCGAGTTCTTCCTCAATGCTAATCGAAGGCATAGGTTTGATAGCAAACTACTAACAACTTAAAAACAAAGAAATACATGTACGTACCACTTTCCTGAGCAAAGCCAGCCTTAACAGCACTTGATCCCAGGTCAATGATTATGGTCAGACCCTGCGAAGAAAAGCGACCGTGAAACATGTATTCACTTACTAGTTAGATGGAAATAGGCGCTGGAAAACTGACTTTTGAAATGGGCTTGCTTTTGGTTATTGTCTATTCCAAAGCAGCATACTCCAAGTAACATGGAACATTTGTTGAGAATAATAGTTGTGGTGTTACCTTATCCCTATTTCGCTCCAGCATAATTAATCCCTGGTGTAATGACGGCATCTCTCAAACTCTGAGGGCCAGCTGTTTACACACTAAGTCCTAACCTAAAACTCGGTTTTAAGCAATCAACGGGCCTCGGGCTTTCCCTGTAAGAGGGTTGATTTCATTAAATACACGTCTTTCTACTATTAGCTTTCTGCGTTTTTGACGCTTTTCAGTAAAATAAATGTTCAGATAAAATATTCAGCTTTATTGAGGATTGTTTAGGACGAGGCTTTGTTAAATAATGACTAAACTTTGTTTAAACAATCAAACCCAAGAGTTCATTGTAAAGAACTAGTGACTGTGGTATTGAACACACCCTCACAGACTCAGACACACAGACACACACACACACACACACACGCACACGCACACATCAGTACACAAAAATATGTACCATCTATTACACATCAAATTTCCTAATAGTTTCAATATAACAGTAAATTAGTAACAGGACTTCAATCCTGTACGAGACCCTAGCACTGTTGACAAATCCCTCCTGTCATTACAGACCAAATCTTGATCCCCTTCAATGATCCCCGAACTGAGACTCGAATTTCAATCCTTCCGCACTGAATTTTGGTAAGTACCAGAACGCTGATTTAAAGAAACTCCTATTCACTACTAACTCTGTCAAGTATGTTACTTTTGAGTGTAGACGACAATAAGCGAAATGGAATCAATATTAACTTCCCGTTAGGGGTTTGCTAAAACAGTTGTATTCAACATCTCCTTGACTTCGTGCAAACGAAGCACCGCCTCGCAGAATGTATCCTTGAATCCCTCACAAAAGCTATGCGGTGACAAAAAAACAGAGGGGGGGGGGTGGGGAATTAGTAAAGGGATAGTAACGATGCTGATGAAAAGTTCATTAAATTTGATAACAGTCAACCACCTCCATTTATATAAACAAACGTTTTTCCAAAACGAGTCCCTCTTTTCCGCTGGTTTGTGAAAGCGCTTTAGTTACACAACTCTTGGCGGTCTACACTTGGCCAAACCACTATCCCCCATCTTTCATGTGCTTGCAAATGAGTCACATGTTGTTGTGACTAAACAGGCTAATTTACAAGATTAGATTATAGCATCTTTTAGGGTTGTCAGTCATCAAGAAGCTCCATAACAAATAAATTCTGGCAGTCTGTGATCTAGTATGGTGGTATGGGCAATGCGCTGAGGATGCTATATACGAAGAGCACTGAACTGTAATGGCAGCTTCACATACTGCTCCTGTTGCTGTTGGAGTGTATAGGTATTCAGGGCAGCTATTGCCTGGTTCTGGGCTGCTTGGTCGAACCACGTAAACTGAAAGTCAGCCGGACTGAAGTTTCCTTGAAATCCATGTGTAGTGGTGATTCCGTTGAACGCCAACACGGGTTTTCCAAGCGGGATTGTTCTGTTTACCTGCTCATCTCTCTCATGGCAAACGACGCGATAATTGCTGCCGTTTTTGTAGGCGAAGCCACTGCGCAGATATCCAAATCGGTCTTGAAAACAAACAAACTCTTTCGAGATAATTTGATTTGGCGGAATTAATTGTGCTCCAGGTCTGAAAGTTGTCACAGAACTGCTCAATGGAGAAGGAGGTTGCGAAACCATCTTGCTCGGCTTTCGAACAGAATTCACCAACTAGCGCAAGATGTAATCGAAACGTCACAATTCATCCTCACCGGTGTTAACTTCATCGTTGGACGAATGATGTTACGTTGTCATTATCAGAGAACATAGCCTTTTTAGGTATATGTTCTTCTGTCTGTGGGGTCTTAGGAATTGGGTCTCAGGTCACAGGCGGTTTGACCATGCGTGAGGGATTCAATTAAATACATTTAGTGATATCATAGGTGTTTAAAATGATTTTTTTGTACAAATTTTGTAGATATTCTTTCGATTATCATGCCGCACGCATGTAGGTGACTTAATGATAAACTAACCTCGGTGGCTGAAGATTCCTCCACGCCAACACTGCCCTCCAAAGGTGCCGCAGATTCTGCTTCCAAGGCTTCTTTCCAGTCGTCAGCCTCTTTTACAGATGAACACTTCAGCTTCACTGAACGGCCATCTTGGGTCTGGTAAGAAAACATAGGTATGTGTTGCATGCAAAAAGCTTCACTTGACTACAAAAAAAAGCCATAAAGGCCAAAGGAGAACTGATAAAGGGGGTCAGTTTCTGTGGGGTTGCATCGGTGGGTGGGGGTAATACTCGATGACTTGGTTTTATCAACTAAGTTGGTAATGTAAGTTGGCCACTTTAAAGAGTTTCTAAAGCTGAAGTTTCGAGCTTTAGCATCTCGTCTTTCACTTTGACGAAACTTTCATCTTTTGATTCTTTAAAACCTAAGCTTAAAATTGTTAAGTTGGTCGTCCTCTGCAGTCCATTTTTTGATATCATCAAATCTTAAGCTATCTGTAATTAATTTAATCCGTTTTTCGACTTGCAACAACTAGCTAAATTAAATCCGACCGAGTTCAATCTAGAATTCCAGAGTTCAACCATTAACGCGAATTCAGTAAAATCACATCATGTGATCGCGTGACTAGCAATCAACAAGTCGATGTCAACTAAGGGGGATCCCCTTGATTCCCCATACTATCATTGTAGCCGCTCAGTCTATTTTTTCTAAATTGATATTCCTTACCAAACTGATATTTCACGTTCTTGGTACTTTTGAAGTGACAAAGCACCTATTAGAGTTCGTAAAACCAATTGAACGACTTATGAGAATAAAATAAAAATGAGTGTAAACTAACGCGTGACGAGTTTGGTAGTTTCGTCGCGTTACACAGTTTTAATCACAGTTTTTAAGACACTAACTTGTTCAATCACTTCAAGAAGCTTGTCATCGGTCTTTTTCACCTGAAACAGCAGGCATATGTAAATAAAGACATTGAATCTCCAAAAAAAAAATAGAGGATAATGATAAGAGCACAACCACACCAATAACATTTTTTATCGGCAGTCTTCGGAGTTTGTTTTCAGTAGAACAAACAGCGGTCCCGTCTCGACCTAAACTTCCCTCGAACCAAATGTACATCTATTCTGTTCGGTACCTTGTATTCGAATGTATTGTGGAGTTGAAAGGTAATCAATGAATCAATTAATGGCACCTATTTTGACATAACTGGTGAGCCTGCAGGCTCGTGCAATTTGCCATTGAAAAACATGCTCGTGATGAACTCTCTCAGATAGGACTTGAGATCATGCGATTACCAATACAAAACACACTCCACCGCTTAATTAAATTAATTAATACAAAACACACTCCACCGCTTAATTAAATTAGTATGGGTAACAAAATGATTTCGAGTGCTATTTGGTGTTTATAAGCACGAGTAAGTTTACTGACACCTTACCACACTGTATTCACACACTGTTGCGTTTTATTCCATGAGCACACATAGAATTATTCCACTGGTACAAGACAAAAACTGCTGCCGGGTGAAATCCTTTAAAACTAAAAGGGAGGTAAATTATCGGCCCAGATACATTCCTCGATGCTTGTAATCTTTCACGGCGTTATAACATTAGACAGTATTTAGAAACATTAGCATTGTCCACTTACTGTACAACCGATAAGGTTCACTGATCCCAATGGTTCTCTCGCCCGATGATCCTGTTATGGCGTTAAATTTAAACGATAAAGTGTCATAAAAAAGCTCAAAGGCCAATCAGAGCTAAGGAAAACGTCTAACGGAGCGGTTAAAACTCTTATTAAAGCCAAGAAAACTGCTATAGCAGCGGCAAAGTGTGACTGGAAAACTCTCGGTTCGTATTTATTTTGCGTCTGATTGGTTGAGAGAGAAAGCGAGCGCAAGCTTCCAAGACTAATCACAGAGCGAGGTGATATGGGGTGCCGTACAGGACAATATTGCGTGCCCAAAAAATAAAATGTGAAAGTTAAATATATATGGCATGGACCAAGTCAATATATATCGGCCATAGGACAAAAGTAAGAAAAATATATACGGCTATTGTGCCCGTTATTGCTTTGGTCAGCGGCGTTATTTTGGAAAGCGGGAAAACTTGGTATCTGATCGAGGATTGAGCAGAGAAGGAATAATTATTGCGAACTCTACTCCCACTGTTGACTTACTTGTTCGACAGATTATTGATCATCCTCAATTCAAAGGAGCATTGCAAGCTAGGTCTTCCGATAGCTCAAGTTCAAACCCTGAAACTTCAAAGGGATGGAATAGAGCTCTCGAAAAATTACTCTAAATCATCAATCCTGTCACGGGCCACCATGTTATTTTTTATCTATCTTCCGCTGACCAAATTGACAATGGGCACAATAGCCGTATATATTTTTCTTACTTTTGTCCTATGTCATCTATTTATTTATTCAGTACCATATATTGACTTGGTCCATGCCATATATATGTCGCACATATATTCTATTCATATATTTATTTGATCCATGCCATATATATTTAACTTTTGCATTTTATTTTTTGGGCACACAATATTGTCCTGTAAGGCACCCCATAAGGTGACGCTAACTCAACTATAACCTGGATTACTTTCAGGAATCGGTTGAAAATTACAAAAATCATGAATGTTGTACGTACCTCGTAGTAGTACAGTTTGCCTCCAACAGCTTTGAAGTGACGTTTCTTCCATCCTTTGAATACAGAAGCCTGTTGCATTCAACAAAACTTCAATACATCACAAGACAATTATATAAACCACTCAATATGGTGCATGAGCTAGAACGCTCGGCAAAAGCACCCATAGTACGCTCAATGATTCAGATGACTTTTCCTGGATAAATACTAAAATGGACAATGACAAACAGACAACAAATTAAATTGCGCACAAACTTTCCTTTTTAATTAGCTATATCTGCCTGTCAGCTTCTTTAAGGACGCAAACTTTAAAAGGACGTGGATATTACAAACGACTAGTGCGGTGAAGTGGAAACACCCAAAAGAACCAATATCAAAGAAATAAAGCACAAGGATGGCTTAGGATTGAAAAGATTAAGACAGATAGAAAATGATGATCACAAAATATATACGAAATCATCTAAGATATGCAAACCACATTGACGTAACTGACCATTACTCTAAAGTATTTATGAAATATACTCTACCCGTTTCAGGCTCCCTCGGACAGGCTGCTTCTCCATGTATCCAGCCATACGGATGTCATCAAAGCCACCCTCTGTAGTTCGCTTTTGAGTAAATAAAGGAAATTATTTGTTCCTTAATGTCCTGACACCCTACTTATTGAGCAAATCCTATCGCCCATGCACAAAAGCACTTTAACACTTTAAAAGAAAATACCCTTACCAATTGAGGGGTTGGTAGCGCACGCACATTACCGAACAACTCCTGGAGGACTGGGGTCTAGAAAAAACAGTAATGCATTACGGTGAAGATAAATTGTGACTGTATGGGTACCGTTTATGACGTGTCTCTTACGGATGTTTATCGCTATTGGCTGTTAAACGTTACAAACTTTGAGATACGTATTCTCATACACAGTTGAAATCATCAAACAGCACTTACTCTAGTGATTCAGACTTGTTTAAATGGATAAGTATTCAAAGGAGTGTCGAAAAACCAAACCCAAGTAGCCCCAGCGACCAATCCGACCAAAGGATTACAAGTCATTATCACCGGGCAATGAGAGCTCAAAGGGAAAAAATGTAAACTGCTTGACGCGCGGGAAAACGCCTTTGTATCTGATTGCCTCAGAGGATGGTGCAAGTTTACTCGACCAATCAAAGAGCAGAATAAGTGAAACTAAACCAATCACGGATTACTCTTGAATGTCACATGCAAACTGCTCTTAAATGCTAAATACTATAAGCAATACTCACAGGATCCCAGTTTTGTAGGAATTGTTGCTCCACAATCAAAGCATCTTGTTCATCTCCCTGACTTCCATCGACGGGTGAGGACAACTCCCCAGGTTTACTATCCTTTTAAATAAAACAAACGTCATAAATAAAAAAACCCCTCCATGGGCTTAAAGCTTAGACAGTTGTCTAATACACGAATGCCTTTCAAATGGTATTCATTTACTCTGGGTACACGTAGAAATTGGGTACAACACTTTAATGTGCTTTGTCAGTAGGCCTGTACCACATGTAGTTTCCTTTCTAAGTATGTTTCTTAAGGAAAGAGATGCATACTGCATACACCATACACTATCGATTAAGGTTGAAAACAACTCAGATAAAAACAATTGACTCTCATTTAGAACTCAATGTCAGTTTATACCATTAAACCCCCTTTCTCTGACGAGTTAAGCATGCCAGCACTGTACCTTTTCTGTCAAGTTATGGTCCACTTCGCTCCCAGATTTATCGCTCAATTTCCTTGACACAGCATATGGTGGCGGCCTTGTGGGAGCTGGTCTTGAAGGCTGTAGCTTTAGAACAATAGCTTCATGGTAATTATCCTTTTCATCACTCTTTTCAACAGGTGGATTTTTACCAGTATGTTCAGGTTGAGTGCTCTGTTCTGATTGTATTTCAAGATTTTCATAAGCAGAATCAGAAGCTATATTCTGGTTATTTTCTGGATTCGAATACATCAAGTACTTTTCCTGAGAGCCTTCCATCTGTCTCACTTCATCATCATCATCATCACCTCTGCCAGCTGATGCATCATCATCATCATCATCATCACCTCTGCCAGCTGATGCATGGAACACATCTCCAGACCAAGGAGGAAGCTCACAAGATATGGAACCATTCCTGTGAAGTTGCTGAGATAACAAGTATAATTTGAATAAAGAAGGTGTACATGTGGCTAATGAAGCATTTATTATTGTTTGTTTTCTGCTACTTTATAATTTTGGTTGCATTATTATGACAACAATATCAAATGAATGGATAGTGACACTGACGTCTCACCAGATGCCCTACAAACACTTCTCTGTGTCCCAAAAACCCCACAAAGATACTTTCATATTGTACAACTGACACAATTTCTTCTTCACTTGTGAAAAACTGTTAACATTTTGACCCCTCAGAGTGCTTAGCATCTTATTTCTCCTTACACGATTGCCCCTGAATCACACATTAAGGTTATGAGAATAAAGAAACCTATCCCCAACTACCGACAAGGCTGTGCTCTAAAAAAAATTGAAGGGAGCTCAGTGCTCTGAAACTGTGAAATCCAGGGTTCCCAGCAGATGCTTTTTTTATGAAAAAAACTAAGATTTCTGGGTCACCCAAGAGCAAAAGTAAGGCACCAGGGGCCACCGGGTACTGCTAGACCATGGCCCTGACTTAAGCAGCTCTTTTTTGCCGCATGTAAATAAAATTAATTCTCCCTATCAACACAATAACAAATGTACAGAGATCAATATGAAGAATATGCATACTGATGTTAGGGTGGAAAGGGTTATTATTTAGCTTTTGTTAACCGAGTGGGAGGTCTGTATGGGAGAATCTTGACCGAGGTCACAAGTACACACCGAACGCAGTGAGGTCTGTACCAGCGACTGAGGACAAGATTCTCCCGTACAGACCGACCTAGCTCGGTTAATAAGGTGTTTATTATATGGCTGTGTCTTATATGCCAATTTTTTTATATTCTTTGTACCCTTTTTTTCTAGACCAGTCTGGATGCCGGTCTAGATGAGAAAATCTAGACCGCTTTCAGTATCGATTTAAGCCAATCAAATTCATGAATTCGGTAGTTCCCAGTCCTTGTGAGACACAGCCATATACTGTAATAAAGAGAAATACCAAAATGACTCTCCCGGCCTGACAGTGGTTGGCTATCTATGAGGCCAAAGTGATTTTTGGCAATCCTTGTTGATCATGACATTACCCTGAGAGTAGGCAACAGACTTTTTAGCTTAAGCATCACATTATATGCAGTCTCAATTAGATTGCTGTACAAGAAAATATACAGAAGCATAAGAGGAGGATGTTGATCACATTATGAGAAATTAAGTGCAAATGAGTTCTCACTGAAAGAAAATGTACATATTACATGTACTTACTTCAGTAAGACAGCGTAGCATTCTGCTCCTCAACCTTGCAATCTTCCCTTGACTTGCAATAATCTTTTGCGTGCAGTCAATGCTTTTTCCATGCCACTCACTTCAACAAAAATCACAATTGTTAGACCCTTGACCTTAAT